TCTATGAGTGTTTTTTTTTTTTTTTTGCTTAATCCCCTCATTTTTTCACCCAGTTCCCCAACCCCCTCATTGTTATTTTCCAATTGTTGGTAATTCCTTTGGCATTAAATGTTCTTCGCTCTTCATCCATCCTACAAAAATATCCTTTACAGCCTTTATTTCTTTTTCTTTTAATTTTTAAATTTTATTTTTATTGTTTAAAGTATTACAGATAGTAGTACATATGGGATTACATCAAAATAAAAAGCTTCTTCACAGCAAAAGAAACCACCAACAAAACAACAAGAAAGCCCACTGCATGGGAGAACATATTTGCCAATGTTATCTCTAATAAGGGTTTAATCTCAAACTGTCTTTTTACAAACAAATTTGATTAGGAGTTAACACGTAATTGTTATGATGACATGTAAATATTTAAGTGACTATCCTTTGAGAGTCCTCATAACATCCTTCAAAGGATGTTAGATGGTATCTAAATGATATCTGGGGCATTCCAAATAAGTACTCCAAAAGGATCTTTGGGTCAGATATTTAATCAGAAATATACACAAATATGATTTTTGAATTTGATATATACATCTTAAATTTCTCTTTGAAATTGACTCAAAATTGGATAGTTGACATTAAATACCCTGATACAGTATGCATTAAGCTATTTTTCTTTTCCTCCCCCTCAACCTACTGGCTTTTTGATTTTAAGAAATATGATATATGGATCCATTAATCTAACACAAAAAATTATTTAAGAAATTTCAAGAAAAAATAATTGAAATGTCAGTAAACTTGGACATATTCATGTAAATATTATACCTTTCATAAAATGAATAGGTAAATACAATCATTAAAGGATATTTGTAAGATAGTTTTTTAGATATCTTCTTTTATAATTTTGAAAAGTAAGCAAAGGCAACACAGTAGTTCTCAGCTCATTGATGTTTTTGGTTGTTTTTTCATTCTGCATAAATACTCAGATGATGTCTCCAGGGTTTCAAACAATTGGTATTGTTTTCTAAGTTTAGCGAGGATCTTTCAGAGCATTAGCTTAAAACACACACACACACACACACACACACACACACACACACACATACACACCAAAAAAACCCCCACGGAGAATAAGAAGGCTCCCACATATTTCTAAACAGTCTTCTGCTATATACCTCTGTCTGGTTCTCATTGAGTCTTCATTGCTCTTTAAGTTTCTCCTTCATTATCTTAGCCTGTGTATCTCCACTTCTCTTTCTTTCTGTAGCAAACAATATTAAAATATCATAGTTCAGTGAATGCCTCCCAGTACCATGTGTAGCTCTCATTACCCACATGTTTCTGAATAAATCTGGTTTAACTACCACTCTAATTAGCAACAAGAAAAGGAAATGCTTTTCTGACAGAAAAGCTCATTTTTCTTTGAGAACGTATTCAAATTATTTTCAAAGTTTCTCTCTTTCCTTTTCTACCAAACATGGAATAAAAATTAGAGCTCAAAAGGTCATGGACTTCTTGTTTTTTATTTATTTAAAAAAACATCCAATGAAATGTTGTATTTCTCCTTGTGGGTGAGGTAAATAATTTAAAAGTGAATGTCAGAGAGTTAAAGAGTATAGTGAAATAATTTAGAGTTTTAGGAATTCTGTTCAATTTAACTTCTTGTTTTTATAATACATTTGACAGAATGTAGGTTAAGCTGGTACAAACAAAAGTACCCAAAATATGGGCTGTAAAAAGATAGGTTTGTTTCTTTTTCATATTACTAACCAGAGATGAAGCAGTCATAGCTGGTTGGGTCACTTTGCTTACTTCTATGTGTTATTTCTATCTCTGTTTCCATTCAATTGATAGGAAGATGGACATTGGAGGACCACTAGCTGTTTCTGTCCCAGTTTGAAAAATTTAATTAAAGAACAAATATTTCAACAAAATTCTCTCCATCCTTGGAATGCATTTAACCTTAAAATCTGGTTTATTTCAGCTTTATTATTGATTAATTGGTAACTATCAATAATTTTTTAAAAAGCTGTGGTTGAATCATGAGCCTTTTAGTGTACTACCAAATAAACATTGCAATAAAGCAGGTAGGAAACAGCAGATTATTAAAATGTATCTCCAAATACAATAAAGATTTGGGTAACACCCTATTTAACTCAGTTTAATAAAAAAAATGTTCTTATAATGGTTTTTAGGGCCTTTGGCCTTTACTAGATCTGATGTCTCTAGCCTCACTGTCTCCATTTCTCTTCCTCTTCTCTTCTGTAATGATATGCCAGCCACATTGTCATTCTTGATTTTCTTCCTAGTGCCAGCCGCTCTCTCACTTCTGAGCCTTTATTCTTAATATTCTTCTAGAACTCCCTTTCCTTCAACATTTCTGCAAGATTTGCCCCATACTTTTTTTTAGGTCTTTGTTTAAATGTCACCTTCTCAGCAACACCTACCCTGACCTTCCTTTTTAAAATTTCAAATCCATCCTTAGCATTTTCTATTCCCCCTACTTGCTTAATTTATTTCATTGGAGTTATCACCATCTGAAATTCTATATATTTTGCTTATTTATTTAATTTTATTTTTTAAACTTTTCAATGACAGTTGACATATATTACATTAGTTTCAGGTGTACACTCCAGTGATTAGACATTATATCACTTACAAAGTGATAATTCCAATAAATATTGTACCCATTGGACACTATACATAGTTATTAGAATAATATTGACTATATTCCCTATGCTGTACTTTACATCCCTGTGATTATTATGTAACTACCAATTTGTACTTATTAATCATTTTACCTTTTTCACTCATCCCTCAACCCACCTCACATCTGGCAACTATCAAAGTGTTTTCTGTATTTATGAGTCTCTTCCTGTTCCACTTGTTCATTTATTTATTTTATTTTTTTAGATTAAATTGTTGGTAGATATGTATTTATTGCCATTTTATTGCATATATATATATATTAATTTTCTTTTTAAATAAGACCCCTTAGCATTTCATGTAATATTGGTTTGGTGGTGATGAACTCCTTTAGCTTTTTCTTGGGTGGGAGGCTCTTTATCTGTCTTTCAATTCTAAATGATAGCTTTGCTTGGTAGAGTAATCTTGGTTGTAGGTCTTTGCTATTCATCACTTTGACTATTTCTTGCCAATCCCTTCTGGCCTACAAAGTTTCTGTTGAAAAATCAGCTGACAGTCTTATAGAAACTCCTTTGTAGGTAATTAAATGCTTTTCTCTTGCTGCTTTTAAAATTCTCTCTGTCTTTAATCTTTCAAATTTTAGTCATGATGTGTCTTGGTGTGGGCCTCTTTGGGTTCATCTTATTTAGGACTCCCTGTACTTCCGGGAGTTGTATATCTATTTCCTTCACCAGTTTATGGAAGGTGTTTTTTTTTCAAACAGGTTTTCAATTTTTTGCTCTCTCTCTTTTCTTCTTCCAGCATCCCCATGATATGAATATTGGTATACTTAAAGTCATCCCAGAGGCTTCTTACACTATTTTCATTTGTTTGGATTCTTTTATTTTTTTCTATTCTGAATGGGTATTTTTTGCTTCCTTATAGTCCAAATCCTGGATGTGATTCTCAGCTTCATTGACTCTACTATTGATTCCCTGTAAATCATTCTTCATTTCAGTCAGTGTATCCCTCATTTCTGACTGGTTCTTTTTTATGGTTTCCATGTTTTTATTTTATGCTGTTTGAAGAACTTCATTGATAATCCTTATAACCAGTGCTTTGAACTCTGCATCTAGTAGGTTGGTTGTCTCTATTTTGTTTAGTTCTTTCGATGAAGTTTTGTTCTGTTCTTTGATTTAGGATATATTTTTTTGTCTCCTCTTTTTGGCAGCCTCCCTGTGTTTTAATCTATGTAGTAGGTAGAGCTACTATGTCTCCTGGGCTTTGTAGAAAGGTTTAATGTAGTAGGTGTCCTGTAGGGTCCACTGGCTGTTGGCACATCAATGGGAGGGATTTACCCGCAAGCCAATTGGTTGCAAAGACTGGTTGTGACCACTGTGGAAAATTAGCTATGCAGGAGCCCACTCCATGAAGCAGGACATACTTTAGCGGGGCTCTGGTGCCTGCTTAGTTTGTCCCTTGAGTGTGTCACTTGTGGCGGTGTTTGGATGGTGTGTCAATATGGTCTGAAGCTGTCCACCAAGTGTGATGGCTCTGGGACTTCCCAGGAAATGCAGGTCAAGGTCAGCTGCAGCCTGTGTTCTGCTTGGGGCCACCCAGTATGACCTAAAAAGCTATCTGCAGATAGCTGCTACTTGTGTTGGGCTTGGAGGTGCCCAGGAGAGGCCAAGCTGCAAACCAAGGCCTGCTGCCACTAGTGCTGGACTTTGGGCTATTTAGCCAGAGATACAGGGTATACTCAGGCCAGATGCTGCTTGTTTGAGAGATTTTAGGAAAGTCTGAAGCATGAGCCAAGATAAGCCATTCATCTGGAAAAGCCACTGGAAACTCCCTGGGTAGGTCTGAAAGTTGGTGGGGCAGGGTATCAGGAAATCACCAGGGCAGGATGAACAGTGTTTACCAGGTTTATGGTGATTCAGATATGGCACTCACCTGCCAGCTCTGTGGGGGAAAGGCTCAAGAAAGGATCAATGGCCTCTGCCAGCACTTCTGGCTAGGAGAAAGCTGCCCTTCAGCTTTCGTCCTGATGCCAGACACTTCAGTTTCTCCTCATGTGTCCCCGGTTCCTTTCAAGCTGCTGTACCCATGCTGGAGCTCAGAGGGAGTGAGTCTGAGTAAGTCTGTGTGAAGGTCCAGTTTCCAGAGGAACTATCTAGATCATCGGGAACCCTCCATCTCACTCAGCCACACTCCCTGCAGATTTTTATAGCCAGAATTAATGGGGACTTCTCTTCCTGATACTGGAACCCCCATGTGTCCCTGGTTCCTTTCAAGCTGCTGTACCCATGCTAGAGCTCAGAGGGAGTGAGTCTGAGTAAGTCTGTGTGAAGGTCCAGTTTCCAGAGGAACTATCTAGATCATCGGGAACCCTCCATCTCACTCAGCCACACTCCCTGCAGATTTTTATAGCCAGAATTAATGGGGACTTCTCTTCCTGATACTGGAACCCTGTAATGGGGGCCTGGTGTGGGTGGGACCCCTTGCTCCACAGGGGGGACTTCTGCAGTCGTGATATCCCTCTGAGTTTTATCCATCATATGTGGGTGTGGGACAAGCCTGTTCCCATCTCTACATCTCCTACCAGTCTCGATGTAGCTTCTTCTTTATATCTTTAGTTGTAGGACTTCCATTCAGCTAGATTTCAGGAGGTTCTGAAAGATGGCTGTTCGGTAGTTTACTTATAGTTTTGATGTCTACTTTGTTTATTGACCAATTTCCATGACCAACTAGAATGGACACTCTCTGATGGCATTAATTTTTTTTTATGTTTATTTCCCACATAATAGTGCCTAGCACATAATATGATCAATAAAGATTCAATGACTAAATGAATGATGAACAAATGAATGAGTGATTGAATAAATTAATCACAAAGCTAGAATGGTATTAGCTTTAGTAGTCATTTTGGGAAAATTTGATTCATGCATTAACATTTTTCAATTTTCTTTATCTTTACTTAGGTAATCATACTATCTTTCATATGGTTAAAATAACAAATTTTTAAAATTACTTTTATGAACCCCAAATATCTAAGAAATATAAGCTTTTTGTAGTAAATAATATTTCATAAAATTATGAATACTTATCTTGCATAAAAGCTATACTTAGGGTAAAATATCCAAGCACTAATTTTAAACATTCCATCCACAGCAAAAGCTCTTTAAAAATAATAAAATTACACTTTTGCAGAGTCATTTCAATAGTAAAACTATTATTTACAGTTTTCTTACATAATGGAGAAAATTCTTAAGGCTAATAGCAAAGCTCTAAATTTCACGACTTCTTATAGGCTTATTTTTAATACAGTAAATATTGTTAAAATGATAATTTCAATCATTGGCATAATTTTTTATTGAAACATAAGCCATAGGAGCTAGTTATTGAACTTATTTTTGTATTAAATTGTGCCATGCAATGTTCTGTAACGTATGTTATCAGAGTGTCAATTAATACCCAAGCAGTAGTTAAGCACCCAGATTAATGTTTCCACCCCACATGAAGTGATTCAGAAAAGGCCTGTGGAGGTAATTGCAAACTTGTTTTAGGTACAATTGCAGTGACTTAGTTATACAGCCAGCAGAGCAAATCTGAATGTAGCCTAAACAAGGTGTGGTT